CAGTTTCTAGCTAAAATTTGATTGTTTGGTTGCACTTTCCGAGCCCCTAGGGTATCTGAGTGGCTTAAAAGTACAAGAAAACACTTCAAAAGTAACGTTTCTGAAGAATTTTAACAGTTTTCTTGTATCTACGAACGCCAGAATGCATAAAATTGACCTAAACGTCTCCTTTTCCTATTCTGAGTCGATTCTGCATGCTTTAAGTGTGTTTGGTGGCTCAGAACCATCAAAAATCGTTGAAATATAGTTCAAATTCAATAAAAATCGACAAAAATACAGTTTCTAGCTAAAATTTTATGGTTTCGTTGCACTTTCCGAGCCCGTAGGGTATCTGAGTGGCTTAAAAGTACAAGAAAACACTTCAAAAGTGACGTTTCTGAAGAATTTTAACAGTTTTCTTGTATCTACGAACGCCAGAATGCATAAAATTGACCTAAACGCCTCCTTTTCCTATTCTGAGTCGATTCTGCATGCTTTAAGTGTGTTTGGTGGCTCAGAACCAACAAAAATCGTTGAAATATAGTTCAAATTCAATAAAAATCGACAAAAATACAGTTTCTAGCTAAAATTTGATGGTTTCGTTGCACTTTCCGAGCCCGTAGGGTATCTGAGTGGCTTAAAAGTACAAGAAAACACCTCAAAAGTGACGTTTCTGAAGAATTTTAACAGTTTTCTTGTATCTACGAACGCCAGAATGCATAAAATTAACCTAAACGTCTCCTTTTCCTATTCTGAGTCGATTCTGCATGCTTTAAGTGTGTTTGGTGGCTCAGAACCATCAAAAATCGTTGAAATATAGTTCAAATTCAATAAAAATCGACAAAAATACAGTTTCTAGCTAAAATTTGATGGTTTCGTTGCACTTTCCGAGCCCGTCGGGTATCTGAGTGGCTTAAAAGTACAAGAAAACACTTCAAAAGTGACGTTTCTGAAAAATTTTAACAGTTTTCTTGTATCTACGAACGCCAGAATGCATAAAATTGACCTAAACGTCTCCTTTTCCTATTCTGAGTCGATTCTGCATGCTTTAAGTGTGTTTGGTGGCTCAGAACCATCAAAAATCGTTGAAATATAGTTCAAATTCAATAAAAATCGACAAAAATACAGTTTCTAGCTAAAATTTGATGGTTTCGTTGCACTTTCCGAGCCCGTAGGGTATCTGAGTGGCTTAAAAGTACAAGAAAACACTTCAAAAGTGACGTTTCTGAAGAATTTTAACAGTTTTCTTGTATCTACGAACGCCAGAATGCATAAAATTAACCTAAACGTCTCCTTTTCCTGTTCTGAGTCGATTCTGCATGCTTTAAGTGTGTTTGGTGGCTCAGAACCATCAAAAATCGTTGTAATATAGTTCAAATTCAACAAAAATCGACAAAAATACAGTTTCTAGCTAAAATTTGATGGTTTCGTTGCACTTTCCGAACCCGTAGGGTATCTGAGTGGCTTAAAAGTACAAGAAAACACTTCAAAAGTGACGTTTCTGAAGAATTTTAACAGTTTTCTTGTATCTACGAACGCCAGAATGCATAAAATTGACCTAAATGTCTCCTTTTCCTATTCTGAGTCGATTCTGCATGCTTTAAGTGTGTTTGGTGGCTCAGAACCATCAAAAAACGTTGAAATATGGTTCAAATTCAATAAAAATCGACAAAAATACAGTTTCTAGCTAAAATTTGATGGTTTCGTTGCACTTTCCGAGCCCGTAGGTTATCTGAGTGGCTTAAAAGTACAAGAAAACACTTCAAAAGTGACGTTTCTGAAGAATTTTAACAGTTTTCTTGTATCTACGAACGCCAGAATGCATAAAATTGACCTAAACGTCTCCTTTTCCTATTCTGAGTCGATTCTGCATGCTTTAAGTGTGTTTGGTGGCTCAGAACCATCAAAAATCGTTGAAATATAGTTCAAATTCAAAAAAAATCGTCAAAACTACAGTTTCTAGCTAAAATTTGATGGTTTCGTTGCACTTCCCGAGCCCGTAGGGTATCTGAGTGGCTTAAAAGTACAAGAAAACACTTCAAAAGTGACGTTTCTGTAGAATATTAACAGTTTTCTTGTATCTACGAACGCCAGAATGCATAAAATTGACCTAAACGTCTCCTTTTCCTATTCTGAGTCGATTCTGCATGCTTTAAGTGTGTTTGGTGGCTCAGAACCATCAAAAATCGTTGAAATATAGTTCAAATTCAATAAAAATCGACAAAAATACAGTTTCTAGCTAAAATTTGATGGTTTCGTTGCACTTTCCGAGCCCATAGGGTATCTGAGTGGCTTAAAAGTACAAGAAAACACTTCAAAAGTGACGTTTCTGAAGAATTTTAACAGTTTTCTTGTATCTACGAACGGCAGATTCATAAAATTGACCTAAACGTCTCCTTTTCCTATTCTGAGTCGATTCTGCATGCTTTAAGTGTGTTTGGTGGCTCAGAACCATCAAAAATCGTTGAAATATAGTTCAAATTCAATAAAAATCGACAAAAATACAGTTTCTAGTTAAAATTTGATGGTTTCGTTGCACTTTCCGAGCCCATAGGGTATCTGAGTGGCTTAAAAGTACAAGAAAAGTGTGTTTGGTGGCTCAGAACCATCAAAAATCGTTGAAATATAGTTCAAATTCAATAAAAATCGACAAAAATACAGTTTCTAACTAAAATTTGATGGTTTCGTTGCACTTTCCGAGCCCGTAGGGTATCTGAGTGGCTTAAAAGTACAAGAAAACACTTCAAAAGTGACGTTTCTGAAGAATTTTAACAGTTTTCTTGTATCTACGAACGCCAGAATGCATAAAATTGACCTAAACGTCTCCTTTTCCTATTCTGAGTCGATTCTGCATGCTTTAAGTGTGTTTGGTGGCTCAGAACCATCAAAAATCGTTGAAATATAGTTCAAATTCAATAAAAATCGACAAAAATACTGTTTCTAGCTAAAATTTGATGGTTTCGTTGCACTTTCCGAGCCCGTTGGGTATCTGATTGGCTTAAAAGTACAAGAAAACACTTCAAAAGTGACGTTTCTGAAGAATTTTAACAGTTTTCTTGTATCTACGAACGCCAGAATGCATAAAATTGACCTAAACGTCTCCTTTTCCTATTCTGAGTCAATTCTGCATGCTTTAAGTGTGTTTGGTGGCTCAGAACCATCAAAAATCGTTGAAATATAGTTCAAATTCAATAAAAATCGACAAAAATACAGTTTCTAGCTAAAATTTGATGGTTTCGTTGCACTTTCCGAGCCCGTAGGGTATCTGAGTGGCTTAAAAGTACAAGAAAACACTTCAAAAGTGACGTTTCTGAAGAATTTTAACAGTTTTCTTGTATCTACGAACGCCAGAATGCATAAAGTTGACCTAAACGTCTCCTTTTCCTATTCTGAGTCGATTCTGCATGCTTTAAGTGTGTTTGGTGGCTCAGAACCATCAAAAATCGTTGAAATATAGTTCAAATTCAATAAAAATCGACAAAAATACAGTTTCTAGCTAAAATTTGATGGTTTGGTTGCACTTTCCGAGCCCCTAGGGTATCTGAGTGGCTTAAAAGTACAAGAAAACACTTCAAAAGTAACGTTTCTGAAGAATTTTAACAGTTTTCTTGTATCTACGAACGCCAGAATGCATAAAATTGACTTAAACGTCTCCTTTTCCTATTCTGAGTCGATTCTGCATGCTTTAAGTGTGTTTGGTGGCTCAGAACCTTCAAAAATCGTTGAAATATAGTTCAAATTCAAAAAAAATCGACAAGAATACAGTTCCTAGCTAAAATTTAATGGTTTGGTTGCACTTTCCGAGACCCTAGGGTATCTGAGTGGCTTAAAAGTACAAGAAAACACTTCAAAATTGACGTTTCTGAAGAATTTTAACAGTTTTCTTGTATCTACGAACGCCAGAATGCATAAAATTGACCTAAACGCCTCCTTTTCCTATTCTGAGTCGATTCTGCATGCTTTAAGTGTGTTTGGTGGCTCAGAACCATCAAAAAACGTTGAAATACAGTTCAAATTCAATAAAAATCGACAAAAATACAGTTTCTAGCTAAAATTTGATGGTTTCGTTGCAGTTTCCGAGCCCGTAGGGTATCTGAGTGGCTTAGGCCCGGTATTTCAGTTGTTGGTTAAACCAAGAAATTATAGTTAACCAAAAAAAGTTTTGGTTAAGTGTATTTCAGTGTGGGGTTAAGATATTTGACGGTTAAATTTGTTGGTTACTTTAACCCAGCCCAGCTAGGTGGTTTAACCATTATTTTTTTGGTTAACACATGCGCAGTAGACGCCACTGTCCGCGAAATTTTGGGAGACATTTTGAAGACCAGTTTTGACAGTTGTTCTTGTTATTAATCACCGTTCTAACCTCGTTTTCTCGTGTACCTCGTGCCTGTTGTTGTGTTTTTTTTTCACTGTTAAGTATATAATAAAAGCTACAGGATGAACAGTGAACGTGAATGTGTTAGATCAAAAAATTTTGAAACACAAGAAATTTGCCTACTTGTAGATTTGGTTAGACAAAACAAGAAGGTGATCGAGTGCAAAGAAACTGGAATCGTCAATAATAAGCAAAAGGGGATAGCCTGGGAGAAGTTGATAGAAACATTTAATGCCATTTCTGGTACCGTGCCTCGAACGTCCAGGAATCCAAAAGACAAATGGACAAATTTAAAAAAAACCGCAGTTTGCAATTTTGCCCACGATAAAAAATACGCACGAGGCACTGGCGGTGGTCCCTCCAAAGGCCCAACAGAGACGTCAGTAGACGCAACTGTCCGCGAAATTTTGGGAGACAGATTGACAGGTTTGCCAGCGGTGTGTGATAATGATGGTAAGTTATCACTTATTAGACATTAAAATAACAACAACATGGTTGTAATTGATTCTTAAGTTCTAGATGTAGAAATAACAAACAGAAATGAAATTGAGGATTCAATTGTCCCAGAGATTGAAAATGAAGGTACCTATACAAAAAATATATACATACTTGTAAATTTCATAATAACACCTTTTTTGTTTTCTTCACAGAAAACAGTGCCTCTTCATCACAATTAGGTAAGTGCAAAGTAATAAATTAATTGTTATTAAAATTATAATATATATTTTATTTTTAGTTTTAGAAGAAGACGTAGTTGCACAACCGGGGGATACGCAGGAAAATGAATTAGGTAAGATATAAAGTATTGTTAAACATTAAACACATGGTTATTTTTTTTTCAGACTGGTCACAATACACTCCAAGAATGTTAAAAAAGCTTCCCTCGAAACCACTACAAGTTTCAAAGAAAGGTGATTTGACATAATTAATAATAGTAATAAGTAACTTTGAAAATAAAATGTACTCTCCGCAGGTAAAATAAGAGTGGGTGGAAATATTACTAATTACAAATGGTGTCAGCTTGCCGACGAGAAAAGGAACAACTCAGTTTTCAAAAAAAAGTTACTTGAAGAAGACCACAAGCAAAAACAGGAAATCCATGCAATAATGAAGAACCAATTGCAGGAGGAACATGAGCAAAAACTGCGGCATCGTGAAGAAGAACATTGTGTAAAATTGAAATTAATTCAGGAGGAGCATGCATTAAGGATGACATTGTTGAAACAACAAATCACGTTCTCCGATGTTGATAATAATCAGTAAATCAGTGAGATATAATAAATTAATTTCATATAATTTTGTTTTTATTTACTTGGTTAGATGAATACATAAGTGATGTGAACAATGAAAAATACTAAACCAACTAAAGCATAGAGCGGAACATGAGCTGAAATTGCATTTAATGAATTTAGAAATAATTTATAAACTTCTACACTATATATGTAAATTTACAAATTTGCAAAATATGCAATGAATTCATTTCTTGCTCTGTTGTTGTTATTTCTATTTACATCATCAGCAACTGGTACATCATCTGCCAAATCAAAAGCTCTTTGCTCTTCGAGATTTAAGGGAGGTGGTTCATCTTCGTCGTTTAAAATTGCTATATTATGCAAGACTGCTGTGGCTACAATTATCCAGGGAACCATTCGTAGGTGTAGATTTATGCCATTACTTAAAATCGGGAAGCGTCGTTTCCAAACACCATAAGAACGTTCAACTGGGTTTCGTGTTCTAATCAGTGACTCGTTATATAAATTTTGAGCAATTGTATTTGTCACTGTCAATGGTGTCATTAAAAAATTTTGAATAGGGTAACCCGCATCCCCAACAAGTATTGCACGCTCCATTTCTGCATTTTGAAATTTTCTGCAAATCTCAGAATTTCTAAAAATTGTTGAGTCGTGAGCAGAACCGGGCCATCTTGCTACAATATTTATTATTTTTAAATTAGAAGCAACAATTGTTTGCACATTCAGGGAGAAAAAATTTTTCCGATTGCGATAAATTTCAGCATTTTCTCCACCTGCAAAATGTTCTATACTAATGTCCGTTAACACAAAATACCTTATTAACATACCCGGTGACTTTATTTTGATATGTGTGCAATCTAAAGCACCAACAACTCGTGGGAATCTTGCAAGTTGATAAAAACCTTGTTGCACTATAGAGATTTCTTCTCCTGTTTGAGGAAATTTTATGTATTCTTCCCGCAAATTTGCAATAGCTCTTGTAACCTTCAATTTATTGTAACATAGGTAACATTTTTATGACTAGTTTTGTCTTTCACTCACTCTGTTTATTGCTTTTCCCACAGTACTCTTGTGAACACCTCCAAAATCTCCAATTACAATTAAGAAACTGCCTGTCGCGAAAAATCGGAGTGTAATTAACAACATTTCCATTGATGTAAGAGCGTGATTCCTGAAATACATTCATTAAACAGCTTATATTATTTTAAATTGTATATTTTATACCAATTTGTCGGATGCTTTATGACATCATGAATTGAATGTATCAAATTTGTTACAGATTCTTTTGACAGTCTGAACCTACAATAAAATTCTTGGTCGTCCCAGTAATTAAAATGGTCCTTTCGTATCTGTATTCTAGGAACTTTGCGAATTCGTCCCAAGCGGACAACAAAATTAATAACTTGCTCATCGTCTGAGTCACTATCGCTAGAAGAGTAAATATTTGCCATTTTTACTTCCCGAGCGTAAGCAAAGGAAGTATTGTAATCGAGTCCGTCGGCCGACTCTCTACTTTTACGTTTTCTCGATCTTTCATGACCCCTAGAAGACGAAGAAATAGGTCTCCCATTTCCGTCTGTCTGTCCGTCCGTCTGTCCGTCCGTCTGTCCGTCCGTCTGTCCGTCCGTCTGTCCGTCCGTCTGTCCGTCCGTCTGTCCGTCCGTCTGTCCGTCCGTCTGTCCGTCCGTCTGTCCGTCCGTCTGTCCGTCCGTCTGTCCGTCTGTTGTCCCGGATTTTATTAGACAGATAATCTCCGAAAGTACTCGACCGATTGTTGTGAAATTTTGTACTTATATTAAGAATATCATGTAGATGGTAAAACGCTAACCAAAATTTGTCTAATCATCCCCACCACTAAAGCGATGACGTCACTTCAAAATTGTACATAGTAAATGGGTTTTCAATTGTATAAAATAACATAGTCCTACACATGTAGTTTACAACTCTGAATCGACTTTTCACCCGAAACGTCCAGATTTTTGGAAAAAAAATCAAAATTATAAAACAACATTTTGAAATTTAATTTTTAATCTGCTAACCAGAATGCTTTGAAATGTTGCAGATGTTTTAAGGCTATAAAGAGCATCATAAATCTTTAGTCAAAAAATATTTGCTTATCCCCTCCAAAAACTTGATGACGTCAGCTCAAAAGTTTGTGGAATAAATCATATCTAAAATGTACAAAATATGATGAGTCTGTACTTGTGAACTATCACTCCATTAATATTTTTTGGATTTGCATATACAGGGTGACTCAAAAAAATTAATGAATGCGTAAATTTATTTTATTGATTTAATCAGGAACTACAAAACCGAATGCTTTGAAATCTTGCAGATGTTTTAAGGTTATAAAGAGCATAATAAATTTTTAGTCAAAATATATTTGGTTATCTTCTACAAAAAACTGATGACGTCAGCTCAAAAGTTTTCCGAATAAATCGCATCTAAAATGTACAAAATATGATGAGTCTGTACTTGTGATTTATCATTCCATTCATATTTTTGGATTTGCATATGCAGGGTGACTGAAAAAAATTAATGAAGGCGTGAATTTATTTTATCGATTTAATCAGGAATTACAAAACCGAATGCTTTGAAATCTTGGGAATATTTTAAAGTTATTATAAGCATGGTAAACTTTTGTTCAAAATGTATTTGTTCATCCCTCCTAAAAAAATTGATGACGTCACCCTTAAATTTTCCTGAATAAATCCTATCTAAAATGCAAAAAATATGATGAGTTTGTACTTGTGATTTATCATTCCATTCATATTTTTTAGATTTTCTTAAGAGGTGGTTCAAAAAAATTAATGAAGTCAATTTATTTTATTGATTAAATTAAAGGCAACACTTATTATTAGTATTACACCCCAACCAACCCAATTTGGTAGACACAAAATTTGTTAAAGGAAAAACTCGGTTGAAACATAAGGGTAGCACGCTTATTTACATCGACTTTAACGTTACAGATCTGCATTTGTTTTATGCGGTCACTTGGTTCCGCGAATGCGAAATAGACATGTTTATAATCAACCAATTGTGAATTTCACCGTCAAGAATTAAAATAAAACCCAATGTTTTATATAATAAGCGGAAGTCGAAGCAATAAAACCGACGGTCGTTTTGTTTACAGTTTCTGTGTTTGGCTCTCACGTATGCTGTTACGCCTGTCATCTTAAATTAACAATGTTTATACATACACGATTTTTAGTTGCCTCTGATACGTAGGTATACGTGAGTAAATTGTTTCGTTATTTTATTGATTATTACAAATCAATATTCAAACGACCCAATTCATTTTCCCGAAAATTTGAGAATATAATAATTTTATTCTTAGTATTGCACTACATCTATCCCAACTGATATACGTGTCCTTGCAAAAATGTTGATGACGTCATCGCAATTTTTTTTTAAATTCCCACTACAAAAATGTAATGAGAAAAAAAACACAATAGGCATGCAGTCGTCAAGTTTCCGACAGCGAGGGAAGTACTGTCTAAACTCTTTAGACCAATTTTTTTGGATTTGCATATACAGGGTGACTCAAAAAATTTAATGAATGCGTAAATATATTTTATTGATTTAATCAGGAACTACAAAACCGAATGCTCTGAAATCTTGCAGATGTTTTAAGGTCATAAAGAGCATAATAAATGTTTAGTCAAAATATATTTGCTTATCCCCTCCAAAAACTTGATGACGTCAGCTCGAAAGTTTGCCGAATAAATCATATCTAAGATGTACAAAATATGATGAGCCTGTACTTGTCATTTATCACTCCATTCATATTTTTTGGATTTGCATATAAAGAGTGACTCAAAAAAATTAATGAATGCGTAAATATATTTTATTGATTTAATCAGGAACTACAAAACGGAATGCTCTGACATCTTGCAGATGTTTTAAGGTTATAAAGAGCATAATAAATGTTTAGTCAAAATATATTTGCTTATCCCCTCCAAAAACTTGATGACGTCAGCTCGAAAGTTTGCCGAATAAATCATATCTAAAATGTACAAAATATGATCAGTCTGTACTTGTGATCTATCACTCCATTCATATTTTTTGGATTTGCATATACAGGGTGATTTAAGAAAATAAATGAAAGCGTAAATTTATTTTACTGATTTACTCAGGAACTACAAAACCGAATGCTTCGAAATCATGAAGATATTTTAAAATTATCATAAGCATGGTAAATTTTTGATCAAAACGTATTTGGTCGTCCCCCTAAAAAATTTATGATGTCACCACAAAATTTTGCTTAAAAAATCCTATCTAAAATGTACAAAATATGGTGAGTCTCTTCTTATGATTTATCATTCCATTCAAATTTTTTGGATTTGCATATACAGGGTGACTCAAAAAAATTAATGAATGCGTAAATTTATTTTATTGATTTAATCAGGAACTACAAAACCGAATGCTTTGAAATCTTGCAGATGTTTTAAGGTTATAAAGAGCATAATAAGTTTTTAGTCAAAATATATTTGGTTATCTTCTACAAAAAACTGATGACGTCAGCTCAAAAGTTTGCCGAATAAATCGTATCTAAAATGTACAAAATATGATGAGTCTGTACTTGTGATTTATCATTCCAATCATATTTTTGGATTTGCATATGCAGGGTGACTCAAAAAAACTAATGAAGGCGTGAATTTATTTTATCGATTTAATCAGGAATTAGAAAACCGAATGCTTTGAAATCTTGGGAATATTTTAAAGTTATTATAAGCATGGTAAACTTTTGTTCAAAATGTATTTGTTCATCCCTCCTAAAAAAATTGATGACGTCACCCTTAAATTTTGCTGAATAAATCCTATCTAAAATGCAAAAAACATGATGTGTTTGTACTTGTGATTTATCATTCCATTCATATTTTTTAGATTTTCTTAAGAGGTGGTTCAAAAAAATTAATGAAGTCAATTTATTTTATTGATTAAATTAAAGGCAACACTTATTATTAGTATTACACCCCAACCAACCCAATTTGGTAGACACAAAATTTGTTAAAGGAAAAACTCGGTTGAAACATAAGGGTAGCACGCTTATTTACATCGACTTTAACATTACAGACCTGGATTTGTTTTATGCGTTCACTTGGTTCCGCGAATGTGAAATAGACATGTTTATAATCAACCAATTGTGAATTTCACCGTCAAGAATTAAAATAAAACCCAATGTTTTATATGTATAATAAGCGGAAGTCGAAGCAATAAAACCGATGGTCGTTTTGTTTACAGTTTCTCTGTTTGACTCTCACGTATGCTGTTACGCCTGTCATCTTAAATTAAGAATGTTTATACATGCACGATTTTCAGTTGCCTCTGATACGTAGTTATACGTGAGTAAATTGTTTCGTTATTTTATTGATTATTACAAATCAATATTCAAAACGACCCAATTCATTTTCCCGAAAATTTGAGAATATAATAATTTTATTCTTAGTATTACACTACATCTATCCCAACTGATATACGTGTCCTTGCAAAAATGTTGATGACGTCATCGCAATTTTTTTTTAAATTCCCACTACATAAATGTAATGAGAAAAAAAACACAATAGGCATGCAGTCGTCAAGTTTCCGACAGCGAGGGAAGTACTGTCTAAACTCTTTAGACCAATTTTTTTAAATTATTTTTCGCACGATTCACTTAAAAAGAAACAACACTTTCACAATCAAAATGTAAATAAAGCAAAAGTGAGGTTATAAAAACGCCTACACGCCCACCAAAATATGAAAGAATATATCCTCGCACATGCTCTTTTCAACTGGTAGACCAATTACGATACCAACTTAAGAGAAATAATGGTTAGTTAACCAGAATATACTTAACCAAATTTTCGACACCGAAATACCGGTTCTTGGTTAAAGTTTTGGTTAAAATTTAACCAAGGTTAGTTAACCCTGATTTTAACCAACTACTGAAATACCGGGCCTTAAAAGTACAAGAAAACACTTCAAAAGTGACGTTTCTGAAGAATTTTAACAGTTTTCTTGTATTTACGAACGCCAGAATGCATAAAATTGACCTAAACGTCTCCTTTTCCTATTCTGAGTCGATTCTGCATGCTTTAAGTGTGTTTGGTGGCTCAGAACCATCAAAAATCGTTGAAATATAGTTCAAATTCAATAAAAATCGACAAAAATACAGTTTCTAGCTAAAATTTGATGGTTTCGTTGCACTTTCCGAGCCCGTAGGTTATCTGAGTGGCTTAAAAGTACAAGAAAACACTTCAAAAGTGACGTTTCTGAAGAATTTTAACAGATTTTTGATGGTTCTGAGCCACCAAACACACTTAAAGCATGCAGAATCGACTCAGAATAGGAAAAGGAGACGTTTAGGTCAATTTTATGCATTCTGGCGTTCGTAGATACAAGAAAACTGTTAAAATTCTTCAGAAACGTCACTTTTGAAGTGTTTTCTTGTACTTTTAAGC